AAGTTAGTGGGGTTTACTTTCTGTTAATATACAATAGTTTGTCCTGCCAGTGTTGGTGGGGGGTGTTGTTTTATATTGGATTTACAAAAGAGACTTATTAAAGTTTTGAAGAATTTTGTGAGAAGAGACAAAGAAAAAATGAGAAGAAATCAAGTGCTAGGACATTATTTGAAGGGACTAAGGATCAAGACTGTTAAACATAAAAGGAAAGAATATAAAGTGTGTTTCTTTGATCAAGGTTAAAATAGATATGTTGTTATCTCTGGTAACCCTTAATGGACTTTTGCTGACTAGGACTGAACAAAGAGGCTTTAAAGATTTGTCTAAAGATAAAAGATGAGATCTTTTGTTGTATTTTAAGAGCAGGTGATGTTAAAATAGATATGTTGTTATCTCTGGTAACCCTTAATGGACTTTTGCTGACTAGGACTGAACAAAGAGGCTTTAAAGATTTGTCTAAAGATAAAAGATGAGATCTTTTGTTGTATTTTAAGAGCAGGTGATAGGTTACTAAAATTGTTTATACTTGTGATGAAGAGGAAGTCTTTTATTTATATATTTCCTTCCCCCCCTTTCCTTTTTTCTTTTTTTTCTTTTTTCCTGCACTTTCTATTTTTTTTTCCTTGTTAGTTTGTATTAGTTCTTATATAGTCTTGAGCAAGCCATTATCATCCTTTCTCCTCATGTTGTCTCAGGGTTATAGAGATTGTTCTGCATCAGAATAGACTTAATACAGCATATGTGAAGTTTCTGGAGTGTTGTGAACTCAGACAAATGGGATAAATACAATTATCTTATTAATAGTAGAAATAAATTAGAGCGCTTGTGGGAAAACATTGTATCTGTAGCATATCTCATCTCTTTGAGAAATGGGGAAAATGTAAGAATATACGGATCTCCCTAATCTGAGATCCAAGCAGGGAGAGGTTCAGTGCCCTGTGGATGAGAACTGGTAATTACTATTTTGCATTTAGAGTATTTGTCAACCTGCACTTAAGTGCAGGTTGACAAATACTCTAAAATGTCCATTCTAGTTTGCTGGAATTATTATTATCCTCTGTACCTACTCACACCTAACCACAGCAGAATCATGTGCTGGCCATACAATACAGTATTCATTTTCTCCCTTGACCTCGTAGAGTTGCCTTCATCTCATCCCCAGCCCATGAGTGAAACAGACTTACAGTATGTTATAATTACCTGCCCCAGTGTTAAAGTAGTATTTTCCTCCTTATTAAAACATTATCCCATCAGAGCCTCAAGGTATATAAAATCTATCAGGCCGTGTTAATCATGTTAATCGTTCCTCTGGAGCCAGGTGCAGACATTGGCAACGACCAGGGATAGAGACCACAGAGACTGGTTAGGCATCAGCAAGGGAAGTGAAAA